AAGTTTCTAAGCGGTAGGCATGTAAATATATAATTGCTAACTGGAAAAAAGCCATTCTTTCTGTTCCTGCTTATGCTGCTACTACACTGTTGCTTCAAGCAACTACTTGATCCATCAAGATGAACAAATTTTCTTTCACTCCCAGTGTATCTCCTCCAGTCCCTAAAGACAAATATGTAGCTACACGTGGATTCATGGTGATTACAAGTGCAAAACTGAAGACAGAGGCAGACAGATGAATATCTAAACGAAATTTCACTCAAGAGAAACCTGCCAATTTTTTCCCTCTCATGTAGTCAGTTCTTCTTCTGTAAAGAAACTAGACAGGTCTGAATGTCCATTTTAATAAATAAGCCCAAATATATTTACACCGGGTACAATTTTTCTTTATTTTTAAAAGTACAGAAGAGCATGCACACACAAGTATAAATACAGGCCGATCTCAATTTGCCATCTCTGTAAATCTGTGTGTACAATATACTCTCCCAACTCTGCCATTATCTAGAAAACATGTGCATAGTTCTAAGAGTTGTTTACATTGTGCTCAGTTTTAATAACTCCCTCCCCCCCCCCGAAAGAAAACCCAGGTCAAAAGGCAATTTACCAAACCTGTAGAGATGAAGCCCAACCAATACACCTTCGTGCAAGCTTAAGAGCAATTTCATTTTCAAAGAGCTTCATCAATAGATACCCTGTAATCACTTATTAGAAAGATTTTTTTCAGAAATTTACACAACATATTCAGAGTCTACCTCTTTACTAATTCCCCCCCCCCTTTTTTTGCAAGAGAGGTAATTTCTAAGCCCTTTAAAAAGAAATCATGTCAGTGCAGTTACAAAGGAAACGAAATGCCCCAGAGAGACATTTTTATAGGTTTCTTTAAAGGAACTCCTTTGTAGAAGGAGTGAGTTAGGCATCTGGCTACGGAGCCAGAGGTTGGAAATTCAATTCCCCAATTTGCTTCCTGGGAGAAGAGCCAGCCTGTATCTACTTGGGCAAGCTTCACAGTCCCAGGGCACCCTTAGAAGAAGGAAATGGTAGACCACCTCTCAGTACTGTCTACCTAGAAAAGCCCAAAAGAGTCACTGAAACTCAGAATTAATTTGACAGTACACAATTATTGTTATTATTATTTATATCTGGTAAGCAGAAACTATGATCATTATGATTCTTAAGGTTAACACTCAAATTTCCTGTACTATCTACCTGAACTTGAAAACTAAGTACTGCTCATGGCAAAAAAGGCAAGCAATCCAACCCACAATGAAATGTCTCTTTTATTACTGTCTTTAAGAAGATTTGAGCACCATCCTGATATCCCAAGGCCAGTCCCACCTTCCTGCACAGCAACAACACAGACCCTTTTTACTATAGAGATTCATATTTCTAATGTTACAAAGCCTTATCTAATACATTTGTTTTTTGGCACACCAACATTGGGATTGTGGTACTAGAGCAAGAAACACAAATCAAGTTATCTTATGTCTATATGCTGGTTCAGAGATTATTATTTTTTTCCTACACAGAAGTAACATCTCCATAATATATCAACTGACTGTTAATATCCAATATGAGAATAAAGCTGGAGAAGGGTACTAAAATAATCCTAGTGCCAAAATATAACTTAAACAACTTTTCTGATGAATTTAAAGTCCACATAAAGGACAGATTTGCATTACTGCAATCAATTGATTGTGAACCAGAAGAACTGTGGGTTGAACTACATATATTAGAGATGAAAGCAAAGAGACAATTCCTGTAAAAGCAGCGTTAAAAATTAAAAAGGCAATTTCTCACATTTTGATGGTAAAATCTGACTTTTGAGTTTGAACATTTAAGAAGACCTCTAAAGGAAACCAAACTGATTATTCTTTCCATCATGCATTAAGAGGGGATGGACGGTAGGGAAAGGATGGCCATAGGGAATCTTGAGACACAACAGATGTAGCAAAGAAGGGAAAGATCCTCCTTAACCTGTAGTCTCAATGAATTTTAAGGCAATAAGAAATAATGTGGCCACATTTAAATACTCTAACTGATGGTCTGAAAGCTCCTAACAGCCAACAAGTATATTGTAAAAAATTTTTAAAAGGATGAGAATAATTCATAATTGTGCAAGAAAATTAAAATTGAAGATACTGTAATTTTGTTTCCCTGTGTTTCTCTTCTAGTACACTTCTTACACAGAGTCTTTACCAGTATGAAAACTAGTATGAAGCACATGGCAGACATAGGACATTCAAGACACACTAGATTAAGACTGGAGAGACTTGGGAGTAATGACTGAAAAGTACTCCAAGGGATTGATTTCAGTAAAAGGAGTGTGTAGACTAATCCAGTGGTTCTGCAAAGGAGAAATGAGCCTAGCACTTTCGAAAATTAAGTTTCAAAAGGACAAATGAAGACTGTTTTTCTAGAAAAGTGGCAGACTTGAATGAGAAATAGTTTTGTTACAGACAATTTTGACACCAATTATTTGCGCAAATTATTGTGTCTCATAGACAACACTGCTGGGAATCTCAAGCAGCATGTAGTTAGGACTGGGTTCTCAGTATCTAGCATCAGTCTGCTCCACGGACAAAGAGAAGTTACTTACCTGTAAATCTGGTTCTTCGAGTGGTCTTCTGTGAATGCACACTAATGGGTTAATCTGTGCCTGAACAGAGCAGTCTTGGAAGCTACTATAGCTTTAAGCACTTGGTGCCGGGACCTCCCACCTAGGCTATATCCCTGCCCCTGGCACCCAGTGCCTCAGTTCCGTGGAACTGTCCGCCGCTGTACACTATATCAAACAGGTAGACGTGACGTACAGCGGGGAGGAGGGCAAGATGTGTGACTTTACAGAGGGCCACTTGAAGAATCAGAGTTACAGGTAAGTAACTTCTCTTTCTCCTTTGTGGCCTCTGTGAATGCACACTAATTGGTGACTAGGAAGCTGACCTACCAGGAGGTGGGTGTCACGACAGGACAGAAGCTAGCACAGCTCTACTCACTCTTTGTGGCCTCTGTGAATGCACACTAATTAGTGACTAGCAAGCTGACCTACCAGGAGGTGGGTGTCGCAACAGGATAGAAGCTAGCACAGCTCTACTCATAGCAGCCTTCACCTTGGCCCAGACATTGAGGTGATAGTGCGCTGCAAAGGTGAACGATGTGGACCACGTTGCAGTTTTGCAGACGTCAACCAACTCCTTGGAGGAACGCTGTGGAGGAAGCAACTGCTCTGGTTGAGTGAGCCCGAACAGTGGCTGGCAAACGCTTGTGAGAAATCTCATATGCCAGCTTGATTGTAGTAACCACCCACCCATCTAGAAAAGGTCTGAGGTGAAACCAGGGACCCCTTAGAATGCCCTTGAAATGACACAGTCTTTGAGAAGAACAAAAAGACTGAGTCCTGGAGATGTAGTAGGCCAGGGCTCTCTTGACATCTAGGGAATGCAGTGATTTTTCCAAATTTGTCATAGGATTAGGGAAAAAAGGTAGGCAAGACCACCCGCTGATTGAGGTGGAAAGATGTTGCTATTTTTGGGAGAAAGGAGACATCTGGAAACAGAGTGACTTTGTCAGGATGAAACTGAATAAATGGGTGGGTCTGCCCGCAGCACTGTCAGTTCACTCGCATGCCTTGCTGAAGTGACAGTGAGAAGGAAGGCCGTCTTGAAGGTAAGTAGTCTCAATGATGTGGAAGCCAGAGGTTCAAACGATGGAGACATCAACTTACAGAGGACAAGCTGGGGAAACCACTGTGGCATGGGAGGCTTGTAGACTCGGTGCATATTGCAGAGACCCTTCAGGAACTACTTCAGCGTTGGATGTTGAAACAACTTGGCTGCATCCAAAAGAGGGGGCTGGTACGCTACAATTGCAGAAATGTAGACTTTAAGCATAGAGTGAGACAGCCCATGCTGAAAGAGGAGGAGAAACCTCAGGAGAGTGTCCAGTGATGTAGGGCACACAGGTAAATTGTGCTCAGCAGCAAAGTTGTAGAAAGATTTCCACTTCTTCCCGTAGGTAGCCAAAGTGGAGGGTCTACAAGCCTGGCTAACGACCTCCTTTATCAAGGGTCCAGCCTCCAAGCTGTGAGATGCAGGGAATCCAGATCCAGATGGAGCATCTTGCCATTGTGGAGGGAGAGAAAATGAAGAAGAATTGGAATCGAAAATGATCAATGGCCATCTGATGTAGAGGGGCAAACCAGGGCTGATGGGGCCACCAGGGAGCGATGAGAATGGCATTTGTCTGGTCCTGCCAGATCTTGATGATTGCCTTCTGGATCAGAGGGATGGGAGGAAACATGTACAGTAGACCTTCTGTCCAAGGGACCATGAACGCATCCCCTTCTGAGTGGCCCCCTGCTCCTGCCTGGGAGCAGTACCTGTCACATTTGGTGTTCATGGCAGAAGCAAACACATCCATGCATGGCGTGCTCCACCTCTTGCAAAGGGAGTGGAAGACTGCATCGTCCCAAGACCACTCGTGGGTGCAGTGTTGGGACCGACTCCGACAATCTGCCCGGAGGTTGACGGTGGAAGCTACATGAACTGCAATCAGTAAGAAGTGGCGTTCATAGCACCATTCCCAAACCTGGATTGTGAGATACAGAAGTCATTGGGAGCGTGTGCCCCCTTGCTTGTTGAGGTATTACACCACCGTGGTGTTGTCGGTTGCCAGCTGCACCACCTTTCCCATGAGAAAATGCTCGAACGCCCAAAGAGCCTTGAAGACTGCCAAGAGTTCCAGAAAGCTGATGTGAAGGCCGGCTTCTTCTGGAGTCCAGTGACCATTTGCTGTCACATCCAGGATGTGTGCTCCCCAGCCAGTCATGCTGGCATCTGTGGTGAGCTGGATCAATGGCTGAAGAGGGCGGAAGGGCCTGCCCACAAGATTCGAGCAGAGGGACCACCAAGTTAGTTGCTCCAGCAATTCCTCCGAAATTGTAAGAGTTTTGGAAGGTAGGTCAGTGCGAGGT